GTGTGTGTGTGTGTTTTAATGTGTATTGTGTGTGTAAATGTGTGTGTGTAGATGTGAATGAGTGCCTCCAGCCGGGGCTGTGTGAGAATGGGATCTGTGTGAACACCAGGGGGAGCTATAGCTGTGTGTGTAGGGTGGGGTTCATCCTCGACGCCACACATGGAATCTGCATTTGTAAGTAACACGCACACACACACACACGCACTCACACACTCGCTGTCGCCAGCTTGAGAATGAAATCAGGAATAACGCAGACTCCAGATCAGAACTGGTTGAATCCATCTCCGATAATGACGCATCCTTGATCTCATGTTTTCTGGACCGCACCTCGTGTCCGAGAATCCTGAACGGATATTGTTCAAGAACCAGAGGTTCCATGAGGGCCGTCACTTTTGGACAAATTTGACGCATGAATTCGTTCGTCCACCGAACACGTGTTCGGTGGAACACGTGTTCGGTGGAACACGTGTTGCTGTGATCGTCCGTGGCGCCTCCTCTCTGGACAAACAACCTCGTTACTTCTTCGTCTATAATGTTTCTCCTCTCAGATGCTCTCGTGTTATGAACTTACTTTACTGACGGGTCAAGAGGACATGTTGCTCAGAAGGTTGAGCTCACAGTGAGCGCCCCCTGCTGGATCTTGAGGAAAACTACTTCAGACTTGTTGAACTAGTTTTTTACAGTGTGAACAGGACTTCCAATGTTCTCATGTTTGAATTTAGAATAAAAAGTGACGGCTCCACTTTCCATCATGTAACTCATCAGACCGTCGTCTCATAAAGTTACCTCATGTTGGACCCCCCCGCTCAGTAAACACTGGAGTCTCTCAGACCTGTTGATGAACAAAGAGGTGGACTGTCCCTTTAACTAAGTTCACGTTCCTCCGAATCGTCCGATCAACAGACGTCTTTGTTTGGGTGAAAGTCAGCTGATGTTGTTTTGTCAGTGGATTCTTTGTCCTGGTCAAAGTCCGCAGGACGTTTTGTTCTGAGAAACTTCAGTGGAGGTCGGTGCTCAGATGGTTTTTGTGAAGTCTGACTGGAGATCTGCTTATTCTGACCGGCATCCCCGGAGGAGGAGGCTGCAGGATGCTGGTCCGCCTGGTAACCAATGACAACGCTGTAATTAATCAAAGCTTGACGCTGGTTTATTGGGCCTGACTCATGTCTCGTCTGTGTGGACGGGTGTGTTGTATCTGTGTGTGTGTTTGGTGTGTGGTGTCCAGGTGTGTGTCTGTGTCGCCTGCAGACTGAAATCATCTGTGTTTTTCTCGCAGACTCAACATTTATTTGTTTTGTCAGATTTTTGTGCTGCACAAAAACCAACGTGTTCTGGATCAGTAATGACCAAGAAATACTGTGACACACAACAACAGCAGAAACAGTTTGAACAAACATTAGACTGTTCCACTGTCAGCATCTGATGTTCATATTGATGGTGGAATGTCTGGACTCGTCTCTGACGTAGAAGCTTCATTCAGCACCTTTGGTTTTTGTCTCATCAGCACTTTTCATCTTCTCTGTGACGTCTGAGCTTTGCTGAACTTGTGTCTTGACTCGAGGTCGTCCTGTTTGAATGGACCTGAGGACAGCATGTGCTGACGCTGCATGGTGCGCTCTGCTGACGCCTCGGCTCCGTGTCCGTTTGGCCTCCCTGACGAGGGACGTCTCTGTGTGACCCTGTGTCCCTCTATGTGTGTCCTCTCCAGCCCAGAGTGTGATATCGGAGGAGAAGGGTCAGTGTTTCCGGGTCCTGGGCTCCGGTCAGGGTCCGTCCTCCTGCTCCTTGCCCATCCTGAGGAACATCACCAAACAGATCTGCTGCTGCAGCCGAGTCGGGAAAGCCTGGGGACACGACTGCCAGAGATGTCCACACTTTGGATCAGGTTGGTTTCCATATTAAATGTCTCAGATCAGATAGAAATGATTAGAAATGTGGTTTTCCACATTCACATCCCCATCAGTTCCCCTGTTCCCATTGGTTGTGGGACCTCCAGTGTGAACGGGGGCGGTTTGAATCGAGTGTGAATCAGTCGGGACGAGAGTCAGCTCCGCTCCGACAAGAACACGGAGAATCAAGTGTGTCTGACTCTGTTGTCTTTGCTAACAGCTGCTGTTCAGTTCACTGATGCAGCTGTTTACATGTGGAGGAGACCAGACGTTATTTAAATAACCTGTTTACACCATGTTTTCAGATGTCAGCTGTTCTTACATGAACTGAGACTGAGCCTCCTCACTCGTCCCTCTGTCTCCTCCTCAGTGGCCTTTAAGGAGATCTGTCCAGCCGGTCCTGGTTATCACTACTCAGCTTCAGCCCTGCAGTTCAACCAGAGAGTCAACGAGCAGCTGGGGGGCCGAGGGGCCACACTGGTAACCCACAGCAACCAGGACAACCAGGGTAGCTACAGTCGACCTTCCTGAGACACACTGTACGTTCAAACAACAACACGTGTAACAGCTTCATGATTCAACATTCACCTCCTGTCAGCTCCTGATTCTGG